ATAAACTTACTGAAATGTGAAATTTTAAGACTATTCTTTCAAGCTAGTTTCTAACTAACCTCCAATGAACTTATTCTGTAATATCATCAAGATCAGACAAATACTAAGGTTCCTCTGGCTTCCTCTTTGAACCCTCTAGCTCACCTGCTCTTACACAGCCTTGACTACTAGTAGATTTCCGTAACATAAACACAAGCCACACAACATAACTGCAGATAATATAATCACCTTATTTTCTGTTTTATTGGTTGAACATGCTCATCAGATCTTATGTTTATTTCACAGAAATGCAGCCACCTAAAGATGAACACTTAATCGAGATGAAGAACAGCAGTTCTACCAGCCCCCCAAGCCAGCTGAACAGCCTGCTGTGGTGGAAGGCCCATCTCCATCCCTCTCTGCTCCCCTCCTATTCATTCCTATTCCCATATTCCTGCACAGCAGTTCTACCAGCCCCCCAAGCCAGCTGAACAGCCTGCTGTGGTGGAAGGCCCATCTCCATCCCTCTCTGCTCCCCTCCTATTCATTCCTATTCCCATATTGCTGCTGCTCTAGCTCTCTATAGGACCCTATAACCTTAAATCAGCAGCAGAACACCACCTTAGCAAAAAATGTATTCTGCTCACAGAGGAAGGACCATATAGCAGGAATAGGTGAGGAGCAAGGAGAATGAGGAACCTTGCCTTCAGTGAGTTCAGCTATCCATGAAACCACAAGTTGGAGAGTCACGCTTCTTCACTACTTCAGAGGGACGTTTCAAGTCTGAGATACCCCACACTTAACAGCAAAGCAATTTGTCACAAAAAGCCTTATACGAAAGGCTTTTCAATTACAGTTTCTATAGTCTAAAATATGGGGTGAAATGTAATCAATAAATCACATTTTGAATTGTACGTCTAAATTGTCATCTTAAGTCAATGAAAACAGAGTTTTATCACATTTGAGTGATGAGGCAGTCATAATGCTGGAGAAAGGCTGAAAGTAAGGAAGATCTTAGGTAACTGCAAATAAAAACCATGCAGAATTCTCAAACCCACTTTATATGGAATGTTTCTCTTAAAAAATGGTGATAATTCAATCACAAAATACCCTTCATTTAATTTTAGATCAATTTAAACTAGACATTCATATTAGCGTGCTGAACCTACTGCATCAATGTCAGAAATATATAATACAGTGAGGACTAGCATGGCTAAGTAATCAGTTTTTTCACATTTAATGCACTTCACATAAATCATAATGCAGGTCCTGGACATACAAGTCAATTCAGCTTAAGGAGCAATGCACGACCCTCTCCAATTCCCACCTCCCCATGCTTCAACAATTTCACCTGATATCCCAGTTGGACTGTTTTTTTTTTCCATTGCTATAGAGAAACTTCAGTCACCAACAGTGATTTACTTTGAAAAGTATGCACTTGGCCTTTCAGCAATTTGTTAGTGAAGGCATGTAGAAATGCAATTCCAGTAACTGGTTTTATGTTTATGTTTGTTATTTTAGCTATGCCTGATCACCTCATGAGAAATATGACACCTACCCAATTCTAGGCCCGCCCAGCCTTTATATATGCATCTCCAAATATACATTTACTTGTAGTTGCACTGTCATAAAAGATGCAAGCTTCACAGAATTGCAGATACAACTCACATTGCAGTTTCAGCCTTTCAGAGAGTGTATTTCAATCTTCCTTCACGTGTTAAGGTTATTTTCCACAGCTTTTTGTCTTTTTCTTTTTTTTATATAATCAGCCACATTATCTATCTTTGACTTCATTGTACAAAAGTCTTAATATTTAGCTACATATCCAGACTGCTTTCTAAACATTTAATTAATGTAAATTGCAGTCCAGATAACTCAGAGGTCAGGATATCAGTCCTAAATCTAAAGAGTAAAAGGGCCTGAGCACTGCCACTTTCAGCATCACACCAGCAAGTGTTGGGACCTAAAACAGTACTGAATGGAATCCACCACCTTCAAATTCATTATTAAACTGTCTACATATCATTTTTTAAATCTGCACTTTGTTTAGCAACTGAAAAATGCGTGCACATGCACTATTCTGTAGATAAAAGTCCATCTTTACCTTTTAGAAAAAAAACAAGAACCAATTTAGTCATGGTTGACAACCATTAGGCAAGCACCAGCTGTTATTACGTAAAAACCACAGCTTTGCAAGTAAAGTTTAGCCTTATCTAATTCCGTAACAGGTCCATAACATTTCTATACAGAGAAACTATTCTGGATGCATGCAATTGATTATTACATATAAATTCAAGATAAAAATTGATCTAATACCAAAGTTTCCATATGCAAATGAATTTGGCAAATTCAACTCGTGTCTCATAGACAGAAACAACTCTCAAATCTGAGAGATGTATGTTTTACATAATGTGCAACTTCAGTCATTAAAGTACTCTCACAGATAGACATCAGAACACTTATTTTTAACATAATTCATATAGACATCTTTTGCATTAGCTTTCTTTATCCATGGCAGTGGATGATTATGTGCTGCCATCTAGCAAATGTTTCCAGGAAAGCTTAACTGTGGAAGCTATTCTGTGGCAAGACATCTGAAAATTCTTAGAAAACTTTTTAGAACAGGAAACATACACAAGACAGCAACATTTTATAAAAAATATTTTTTTTCAGCCTGCATGCCAATAAAATTAAACACAAGATGGAAACACAATTAGGCTTAATGTAGACATACATAACTCTACATGAAAAACACAAATTATTAATGTTTATATATAGCTGTGAATAACTGTACAGTTACGGCTGATTTCTTCTATTTTTCTGTCTTATTTCACTTTATCACCACTGCAATTACCTCCTATTTTCATCCAGGATCCTTACCACTGTATTGTGATTACAGATCTTATCCATGCAGTCATCTGAACAGTATTACATTTTAATTCTGTGTTCCCTAATAGAAAAGAACAGTTGGGAGCGTGTTGCCTCATGGGGGCACTATTTTTTAACCAAATTATAATTCAAAAAGAAACTATAAACTTTTCAGATGTTCATTCATTTCCAAATTTTCTGAAATTAGCCAATGAATTCAAAAACTGTCAGAAAGGAGACACACATAACAGTCCTTTACTTGTCTCATTTCCTTGGAGGATTAGATTTACGTAACAATATTCAACCTTCAAGGTTTTTTTTGGTGATAAATCATCACCTCATTAAGTGTTCTAGAATTTCAAAACATGTACACACTTTAATTCATTATAATATTGGAAGCAAAGGCTTAATTTTTTACACTGTACTAACAACAATTTCCATTAAGAGTCTGAGAGGTGTTTTTTTTTTGTTTTCACCAGGACAATAATACCAGAACAACTCCTGCCACTGAAATCACAGAATCACAGAAATACTTGAATAAAACTAATGATCCAATGCCATTCTTTTCCTCAGTCTTGGACCACGTGGCATTTATTTTCCCCTTGCCAGCTCCAGTCCAGATTTCACACATTGTGCTAGGGACACCTGAAAAGGCCTCACAGAAGCTTTGGTGAAGAAGGTGGTTTTCTGTTTCAGGGTGGATGCCAGCCCTACCCACAGAATGAGTAGATGGTTATGCCTTGCAGGTAACGAATAGTTACAACTTTGATTGTCTAAAAAAAAAATACTATGGAGCTGGACCTTCTCTCAGATGTATTCCCCAGAAAAATGGTATGAAGAAGATTCGGTTGGACTAGATGACCTTTCGAGGTCCCTTCCAACCCCTAATCCTTCTGTATATCTTAACTCTAGTCTTGGGCAAGCGGGATTCACTAAACTAGGCAATTCTGTCGTTTAAAAGGTTTGACAAAACTACACAGAACCAGAGCTATCTACTCAAGTGGTAATTATCTTTCTCTTTCAGAAAGCTGTTAAACAAGTAGATCTTACCTGCATAAAGCAGAGGCTGTGCAACTTCTACATATGACAATACAGTTTATAGGAATGCTGTAGTCATGCCAGAACCAAGACGTTTTTGGACATCAATAAATATTTGTTTTCTTAGTTACTAGTACCTACAGCAAGTAACATAACTGTCATCTGGCATTAACAAGGGTGCCAATTTATATTACTAAGGAATGCTACACTTAGGACTATCTGTTCTTCCTGTAAACAACATATGAATTGCTGAAAAAAATTCTGACACCTACTGTGCTACATCTTCTTAATCATTTAGCAGGCCATTATACATTATAATATTAATTTGTAACAGAAGCCTGCCAGAATTAAAACCTGGAATACACAAATATAACACAGCCAAATTTACAAGACCTTACACAGGCCTACTGTAAATCGAGCCAAGGCAAACAGGTTTATCAGCTACATAAGGTCATAAAGTTCTTTCTGCAACATCTACTATCAGTCCTATTTGATTATCTTGGTCCAACCCTCCTGCCATGGGCAGGCACATCTCCCATTAGATCAGGTTGCTCAGAGCCCCATCCTACCTGGCCTTGAATACTTCCAGGAATGGGGCACCCACAACGTCCCTGGGCAAACTGTCCCGGTGTTTAGCCACCCTCATAGTGAAGAATTTCTTCCTAATGTCCAACCTAAATGTCCTTTCTTCTGCTTAAAAGCCATCATCCCTTGCCCTCTCACTACATGCCCTTGTAAAAAGTCCCTTCCCCACTTTCTTGTAAGGTCTTCCCTGGGCTTTCTCTTTTCCAGGCTGAACATGTCCAACTCTTTCAGTGTGTCTTCATAGGAGAGGTGCTCCAGCCCTCTAATGGTCTTCATGGCCCAACTCACTCCAACACCTACATGTCCTTCTTATGTTGGGGGCTCCAAAACTGGATACAGTACTCCAGATGTGGTCTCACAAGAGTGGAGTAGAGGGAGAGAATTACCTCCCTCGATCTGCTGGCCACGCTTCTTTTCATGCAGCCTGGGATATGGTTGGCTTTCTGGGCTGCGAGAGGGCATGGCTGCCTTAAGTTGAGCTCTTCAACAACCAACACCCCCAAGTCCTTCTCCTCAGGACTGTTCTTAACCCATTCTCCACCCAGCCTGCATTCGTGCTTGGGGTTGCCCTGACTCTGGTGCAGGACCTTGCACTTAGCCTTGTTAAACTTCATAAGGTTGACACGGGCCCACTTCTCAAGCCTGTAAAGGTCTTTCTGTATGGCATCCCTTGCCTCCAGCACATCAGCCACACCACACAGCATGGTGTCACCATCAAACTTGCTGAAGGTGCACTCAATCACTTTGTCCATCTCTCTGACAAGGGTGCAGAACAGCACCAGTCCCAGTACTGACCCCTGAGGAATGCTACTTGTCACTGGTCTTCACTTGGACATCAAGCTATTGACCACAATCTTCTGAGTGCAAACATCCAGCCATTTCCTTATCAATTGAGTGTTCCATCCATCAAATTCATCTCTCTCCAGTTTAGAGAACAGGATGTCACATGGAACAGTGTCAAACTGTTTGCACAGGTACAGGCAGATTATGTCACTTGCTCTCCCCTTGTCCACCAAAGCTGTGACTCCATCATAAAAAGCCACAAGATTTGTCAGGCATGATTTGCCCTTGATGAAGCCATGCTGGTTGCCATCAACCACCTGTACATTCTCCATGTTTTAGCACATCCTTCAGGAAGATCAGTTCCATAATCTTGCCAGGCACAGATGTGAGAGTGACTGGCCTGCAGTTTTCTGGTTCTTCCTTTTTTCCCTTTTTGAAAACATGGTTTATGCTTCCCCTTCACCAGACTATTAAAATTTCTCAAATATGATGGAAAGCAGCTTTGTAACTTCATTCTCCAGTTCCCTCACAAGCAATCTCATCAGGTCCCATGGACTCACGTTTTTTCAGGATATTTAGATGATCTCAAACCTGCTCTTCTACAGTGAGGGGATATTCATTCTCCCAGACCCTATCTTTGCCTTCTGCAACTTGAGTGGCGTGGCCTGAGCCCTTGTCAGTGAAGACTGAGGCAAAAAGTCGTTGAGTACCTCAGCCTCCTCCCTGTAAACACTTCTTACCAATAAAATGTGTTCCTACAAGACCATCTTAGTAACTTGAATAAATCCAGAGAGGATACCCAAGTATTGGCTAAGAAAATATTGCTTTTGGCTTTTTAGCCTGGACATCATAGTAATTTATATGGCTCTGATGCTTATGAAAAAGCATAGGTGTAGAAATGCAAAAAATTGTTTAAGCTATTCCATACTGCTCTTGGCCAGCGTGACCTTCTGTCCTTCTTGATGAGATGGCATCCAGGATTTTGTCTCAGATGGACCTTTTATAAGAGTGCACCCATTTTTTGTCCAAGCTCTGATGAAGGTGCCAACCTTCAGAAAATCTAAGAACTTAATTTCAGTTTCCTCTTAGGATAGTTTGAACTGCAAAGAACAGCATCCCCAGTACCTGTACTGAATTTTTTCAGTCTTTTGTAATCTCTCTTTTACTGAAGAACTGTTTGGTCATTCCTCAAATGCTGCTTCTTTTTTTTCATCATTTGAGTATCTCTTTGGTGATAGACTATGAATCACCAACTTGATCAATCAAGAAAATCCCTGCATCAACAATGCATTAAATAATTTACTCCTTCTTTAGTGATTCAGTGGTACATTTCAATGCAAAACCACTCATATATGACCTTGTTTGTTAACAGCAAGGACCAAATGTTTGTGATAAATTACTGAGTAAATATCTGTATTTTTAGGTTATATCAAATTACAACTTTTCTGATGAAAGGGCTCTCACTAAATTCTTGACTTGCAAATAAGCCTCCCGCTGAATGACTATCACCCTGAAATATAAAACCTACTTTAAATAAGAGTGCAACCTGAGAATTATTGTATAATCTGTAATTTGGGTTCTGTTGAAGAAAATAGTAACTTTAAGCATACTGTGAATAATCTAAGAATCCTGGAAGTGCATAATGCCATCTACAGAAGCTGATACAACACATGTTAAGCAGAACTGCCAGCTATTCTTTAGATGTTGCAGCAACAGTTTAAAGAGGCTAGCTTAGTTGTGTCAGCCTTATCAAACATAATGATTTGCAATTGTGGAGTCAAAACCCATCACAAGTGAAAGACACCTAATTAATTTGATACAGGTTATAAAGAATAATTTAAAAAAAAAAAACCAACCCAAAACCTCTGAAAGAAACATGAAACACCAAACCTCTGGAAGAACAAGAAAAAGTTAGCGCTAACCCATTAATTTCTATTCTCAGCCCGTCCAAGAAAACAAGGTTATGCCACATCTCTGCAATCCAACGACATGAGGCTGAGACTTCAGTAGGTGTCCAAGAACGACCCGCAAAATTGCAGTGTGAAGCCGTGACTACGTGACACCCAAGAAGACGATGCTGAACACACCGAGCGCTGTGCATCACCCCCCTGAAGGTGCCTGATCTTAGCCAGAGAGACCTTTTTTCCCCCACAGGCGCCTCTCACCGAGAGCCAGGACGGGGCGCAGCGTTTCCCAGGGGGGTGTCGGCAGCCGCCTCAGCTCACATGGCGACTGCGGCGAGCAGGG